GTATTTGAAAAAAAATTCTGAGCGGAGTTCAGTTATACGTGTTATGAAAGACCGTAATATTTACAATTTGAAAATAATACGTTTTTTTCAACACAAAAAGTCACGTGGGATGATTTTAAAGCAATATGGATGTATAATAAAGAAACAGAATACATTTCAAAATCATCAGTTTTTGAAAATTCCCGATTTATGAAAAATATTATAATCTCATCGATTTATTCGGCAAATATACATACGGTTTACATCTTACAATAGTCAAACGTCATTGGGGATCAAGTCTTGTCATATACCCTACGAATGATGGTCACGAGATAATATACGATTGGATTATAGGTGCACATTTAAATTTCACGTTAGAAATATTTATCTTGCTTTTTTTTTTTTTACAAAATACACTGTTATAAATAACTAATAATTTTATAAATCTACTTACCTCCATACCTTCTACCTATATTATTATAGTTTCTGATTGTAAATATAGTAAAATATTATTAATGTAAAGAAATGTATCAAAATTATTGTTTTTTCTATCATAAGTTTTCTTATAAACCCCATTACTGTTAAAGTATAATAATTTACTAGTAATAACTATAATACGAGTCCCTTAAAATAAGTTTCTTACAATTTGCAACCCATCGTAATCATATACACCATGATTATTATAAGAGCGAGAAAAAAAATGCTTTTTAATTTAAGATAACAACATATTATAATATTAAATTATATACTATACACATAAAGATTTTTAGTTTTTGGAAAAACATAGTGAGTTAAAATTGGAGTATCTACTCTTACGCAATTCCGTTCGAACGAATTAACCGCTTACTTTTTTGAACCATCCGCGTAAAAAGCATACAGATTCACTACGTGTACGTATTATATTTAATCGTACCCATCACTGAAATAAATGTCGAGACGTATCATAACCATAAATATTGTACATCACATTTATGGTAGGTCTTGAAAAAAGAAAATGATTTTTGAAGGGTGGCTTTGTTCGGGTGTAAGACTCGGATAATAAATAAAAAATAAAAAATGATATGATAGAGTCCCGAGTAATGTTGTAGAAAGATGCATAACATAAGGTGTACCGAAAGAAGGACAAATGGAGACGTTTTAAGCTAGCCTCATGCTACAGTTTTATTTATTCGTGAACATCGTTTGTAAATATTTACTAATTATAATACGATACTTCAGTATAGTTAGTTACTCATATTATTGCATTATTATATAACGTTATTCATTTACATTTATATACATATAATGCAACCTAATCCAGAGGCTATCCATAAGATCGTCAAAGACCAAAACGTAGATCTATAATTACTAAGTCACGATATCTCGCAGTAATTTTATCAACAGATTATCATTTAGCCTATTGCTGTTAATTTAATTTTATGATAAATCTTGTTTTATTTATTTAATTAAATATTATTATGGTTTATGTTTTACTTCTGTTGCGTGTACTACGTACGAATTATACCATAACGTACCATACGAACATTTTCTATACAAACAGATAAAAAAAATAAAGAAACATTAAGTAAAGTATACAAAAACTCAATGATAAAATAACAATTTATTGTATCAATTAATTGATAAGAAGCACGTAGAGTGAATTTAATTTATTACTGATAAGATAATTGATATTTGAACATGTAATTTTTATCATACGATATTCTTAGGCCAAGGATTCTATATATTCTATTTTTAAATCTGTGTGTCTAGTATAAATAATAAATATTAAAATATGCCCGTTTTGTCCTGTGGTCCCATTTTACCCCATCTTCCACTACAATATTATTGTTTGAAATTTAATTCTGAATTTTCGTTAGACCAGCTAAATCGGAAATTCAGAGTTGTTTCAATGTATCGATTCTAATTAGTTAGTTTATGTAAGAAAAGCAAATAGTATGTGGATGATATCAGTGTACAATTTTTTTAAATTATCCAAATTAAGCCGAAAATTGTTCATAGATGTATAAATCCGTAATGTTCGGTTAACTCAATGAAACATAAACGAAAATTAATGGATATATTGAAGAAAGTGATAAATACGTGCTGAAATAAGGTGACGATTATACAGATTAATAATTGCAAAAATAATAGAGAACACACTCGTTTGAAATTAACACCTAGAACGAAATAAATGTCAATTAATGAAGGATGCAAAAGTCACTTTCTAATAAGAACTCAAGGACATGGTAAACAATAGAGACAATAGACTTGATAAAATCCGAATTCTCGAATGAAAAAAAAAAAAAAACCTTAAGAAACAATATGTACGTGTTAATTTAAAAGTTGATCAATCTGTATAATAATAATATTAAACGCATCATTTCGTTATTTGCACTTTGCAAGACAAGCAAACTAACTATTTATATACGTATCACGCTCGTGAATTCACCACGGATTAAATATTTTTAATAATATTCTTTGGAATAGTGAAGTAGTAATTTTGTGAATCTTTATCTGATTATCCGAGATCTTATTCGGTAAAATTTGTATAGCCTGAGCATAGGTAATGAGGAGTGTATTGGTTTTACTGTGAAGTGATTTTTATTTTTATTTTTTTCTGTCTATAAACAATTTTTATACCAGAAACCAGAAATCTTGCTCTACTCAAAAAAATAAAAGACATCTTTTTTGTTATATTTTAGATATTATTTTTAAGTAAGGGAGTCGTTTTTGATTTTTAGTGTAATTTTCTTAATAGTTAAAACAAACCGCAGAAAAAACGGGAAAGTTTACCGCATTAACAGTTTCATTAATTTCGGTTTGGCTTTTTAATATTAATTCAGTTAATAATAAATATAAAATAATTATACTTGCAGGTAATAAACGTGTTATAATTTTAAAAAAATTCTGAAGATTTTTGAAATAATAATACAGATTTGATATTTTTGTTTTCATGACAAAGATAAAACTGTATAAGCATTAGTTTAGTGGATATGTTTGATAATTTACATAGGTTTATTATAAGTTATACTTGTAGGAATATTATAAGTTTAAATTAGCATGGGAATCTTAAGAATCACTGTATTTTAAAACACATGTAACCTAAATTCACTTAGAATCTATTTTTTTTAGCACTGATTTAATTTATCGTAACATAATTTAAAATAAAATAACTCAATGTACTATACTTTTCTAACATGTCAGAGGAATATTTATATTTGAATATTTTTTTTTTGGTTTTGGTTTTGGTAAAAAATTAAAAAAACAAAACATTTTTTTTTTTTTTTTTAAAAAAAATTTGAAGATGGTCATTTTATAAAGTTTAATAATACTTTTAAACATTTTGACGTTTCAATTTTTTATTTTAGTTTATATTTACCGTATAATTAGGTAAGTAGATACTAAATTAACCTCCTACATATTATTAAAGTGATTCAGATCGGTTTATTTATAAATAAGGAAAAGTGTATATTCAAAGTTTTTTGTTATACTACTATTATCTAAAGATAATACTAACATATTTTTCATTTTTCTAATGAAAAATAAAGAGATAATAAAAAAAAGGTCAAAAAGAGTCATATATTTCCCCTATATTCATTATTATATTATACTCCAAACCTTCTTCCCTTGTGTCCTTTAAATAATATTGTAATTACTTTTTCGTGTTAGTACTATAACAACAATTTATGAAATTATACTGCCGTAGTCATGAGTTTTCTTGTTGCCCGCGTTCATGTCGAAATAGTTGTTGAATTTGATTGAGTTATTAAATATTTATTTGAATAACTCGATGACACAATTACTTACGCATCGAGGACGACCATAGTAACAAAAAAAAACAAACCGATTAACATGTATTCTACGCATGTTTATAAATTTATATTGATATGCATAATAAAATAATTGATAAATTCAAGCGAATTATTATTTATTGCATTTATGATTTTTAGTTAAAATCGTTTACGCTTCGATTAACGAAACGTGAAGTTAAAACCTTTCAGTAAATCAATAGGTACAAAATATCAGTTCAACGAATCGAATAAATCTGGCTGATCCTATATTATAATAAAATAAATATAATTTTAAAATAATTAATCCCGAAATGATTATAAGGATTTTTATTAATAATTTTAAAAGATTTGTTGTGTTTTGTTTTTAACGATAAACGCAAACTCATAAAAAATATTAAGAGATTTGTTATACAAAACAATTATTTATATTGTTCAGCCGAGTCAACATAAGAAAAAAAAAAAAAAATGCTCAACTTATATAATAATATTATAATACGAAAAATCAACAGGATAAATATTTTAAAAACCTGATATAATTCGTTCTACTGTAGAAGGGAAGTTAAGAATGACAAAATACAGGGTTATAATTTAGTTTGTATTTGTACGCAACGATATTCACCAACGATAAAAGGTTCTGAGCGGATTACGGTTAAGGTTAGGTTAGGTTAGGTTAGGTTAGGTTAGGTTAGGTTTTTGTTTTTGGATAAACTTAAATAAAATTATAAATCGTATGAACTTATAAATACGAAATAAATGTATAATTTTACATTTTTATCATTTCAAGTTGCCGAACATATGTATGGAACCAAAAAAGTCTTATTTACATAAATCGAAATATCTTACGTGAAAAACTGTGACTTTTCTGTGTTTCATTAATATTTGATCTTATATCTCTTACAAAAATAAAACTATTACATTATACTAACTTTAAGATTATGAGCGTTACGATGAGGAATATATATTTATTTTGCTACAATATGTGCTTATTTTATTTTTGTGTCTGGAAAACAAATTTTCTACTAGAACTCAAGCTAGTCTATCAACTTCAGAAGTGGTTACTGGTAGAACATATTTTAGTTAGAGTATCGAGGAGCTCATTTTTAAATTTCACTTTCAGTTTTTATAATAGCTAATGAAAAAAAACCGAGAAAAAATGTCAGAAAATGGAAAAATGTACGCAACAACTCTTTTTATACGACGTCTTTATTCGAAAATATTTAGGGTCGGCCACCTTCGTCCTAAATGTCCTCGCATCATCCTCGCATACACTAACCGTTCTCATGTCATTCTTAATCACACCCTAACACCTATTGTTTGGCATTCCTCTCACACTCTTTTCTTCTACCTACATTTATTTATATTATCACTTTTACTACTTCAGATTCCTTTATACTCATGGCGTGCCTAAACTATCTCAGTCTATTTTCTCATATTTTTTTTTTTTACTATACAACCTTCTCCGCCTCTAGTTATGTCAATTCCTCTCACCTATTGTCCCAACCCACATTCAAGGTGAGCTAATTCTCCAATGTCTTGTTTAGAATTTTTTATTCTGTTTCACAGAAATTTACATAGGTTGTTGACTCGACACGACAACCCCATTAAAGTAAATTAACATACTGCCAAAATTAAATATAAGAATATTATCTGTTCAACTATGTTGATTTTTTTGATATTTTAATTTTTAAACAAGATACGATTGTGTGAATAATTCACAGTATAAAAATACTATAATGTCACTTAAAAATTTAAAAAAACCCGTCATTATATTATAAAATATAAAATTAAGTATAAAATAGTCTCTACCGAATGCAAACCCGTCACGCCTCGCACCGCACGTTCGTGAAACGGAGACTTCACACGTGGGTCAACGCTATGTTAAGCATTGTACGAGAAGCTCTACTTACGTTATGTACTTAAGTACATACTTTACAAGTAAGATGTGCCATTATTATATGTCTGGTATAGGACGTATATAAATCATTGCTAATGAAAAACGATTCTGAGGGAAGTTCGGTTAAACATATTTTGAGAAATTGTAACTTGTAAATGATTAATTTCTAACTTTATAAAATAAATTACAAATGTACGTGCTTTTTTCTTTAATTCAGTTGAAAAATATTTAAGCAATAATAATTTTGTTGGTCTCCATTGCATGGAGAAGCTTATACCAGATACCTACTGATACAGTATCGGACGATAACCTAGTAAACAAAATGCCTTTGTAATAATCACGAATGAGGTGGGAGGACATAGTAAAAAAAGCGGGGGAAGCTTTTAGGCGGTTTCTCAATGACGTTATGAATTCTTTATCGTGTTCTGATAAATCCAGTAGCCAGGGCCTACCGGAAAATTTTAAAAGTTAGAGCTTAAGAAATAACTTTTTTTTTCTCTTGTTTCAGTTACAATAGTGAGTTGTCTTTTGGTGTTATCAGCACATATGTATATCATTAAACAAGATACGACAAATGGCGTCATTGGAATAACGTCATTCAGAGGTGGAACAATTGTAAGATTCAGGTAACGGATAACCAGAGGATAGGTTGTAAATCTTAAATATTGAATAAACTCAAAAATAAAAATGAATCATACAATATATCGTACATAAATAGTACGTTTCGGTAACTTAGTTTTTAGATTCTGAAGGGAACTAGAAACTTATTTGTTTAAGTAGAGCACTTTTTCTGAAAAGAAATTTGACTAGGGCGCTACTTTAAAGAAGCCATTTTTTGATTTTCCAGGAGCTTTCATAATAAATGGGAATGACACCAGGAAAAACATAGGAAAAACATAGAAAATTCACAAAATGTATTATTTTAAAATCGTAAATATTAAGACCTTTCAAAACATGTATAACCAAGCTAAAAATTGCATCCACAGGGTAATTTCTGAACAAAAATAACGTAAAACTCGTAAAATTTAAATTAAAGAGATAATACTGGAGATTAGTGCTGCCAGAGTTGTAGGTGAGTAGTGGGGAATGTGGGATACATAAGGTTATTTCATTTATATCTGTAAGCATTGCTGACCCAAAGACGATTCCGAGCGCAGTTCGGTAATATATAATTTGAAGTGCCTTAATTTATTTTAATCTAACCTTACTACGTTTTTTCTTGATTATTATGAAAACTTATTCGAAAATTAAAAAAACAAACTGTATCAATAATTCAACAAAAAAGGACTCTTGTCGTATTTCAATTGGAGCCATATTTGTGCAAGAAACGTAGTAGGTACTTATTTAAAATGAAGAAATCGTGAAAAAATTGTATTTTTTTTCTCCGGTTAATCGTTTCGAAAATCAAAAAATGACCAATGTATTTACTAAGTAGATAAAACTGACTTTCAGAAAAGGTGCTACACTTGTACATTGGAGCAAGTTTTCTAGGATAAAAGTGGTTTACAGTATATATATATATATATATTAAAATAAATTACCATTAAAAAAAAATTAAAAAAGTCGTCCGATGATTTTGGAAATTTAACTACGTCTAAGTAAGTCCAATATAAGTATTATTACCAAGTTTCAAGTCTCTACGTGTATTTATAACCGAATTACAGCAAAAAATTTAAATTCCTTAAGAGCTCAAAAATTTTAGCAATGATATCTTAGGAAACCAAATCAAAAAGACCACAAAAAAGGTATCTTGTGATTTTTCGATTAAATTATTTTTTTCGGTAGGAAATGTCGTCCGGGTTTTTATGAAATAATGAAATCGTAAAATTTTATGTTTTCCTAAGTTTTTTCCACTACAGTATTTTTATTTAAAAAACGGCGTCTAAAATTAAAAAAATGACCAGTTTTAAGTACAATTTAAATAACATGAACTTTTAGACAAATTTTTACACGTAAAAAACTGAGCAAGTTTACTAGGATAAAACGTGTAAAATCAATAGCTTCTTCACTACGCATGGAATCTAAAATTAAAAATTAAAAAAATAGCTGAAAAATGTGCAAAATATTTTTAAAATGTTACCAAGTCTATAAAAGTCAAATATAAGCTTACTGTCTAAATGTTAAGTACTTATTTCTTCCAATACTTTTAACTGAATTACAAAAAAAAAAAACAAAATTAAAAATTAAAAAAGCATTATTTCATAAATTTTCTTGGTCTTTCTACGTTCTTTTCGGGTTTTCTCAGTTATTAAAAAAAAAAAAAATACACATAATATGAAAACATGACTTTCTTAAACGACAACACAATTAAAAATTCAAAAATAATAATATTTTTTTAGTTTTCTATTGCAGAAATATTTTCGGTAGATAACATATGCTCTAACAAATTAAAATAATCAAATCGTAACATCATACATTTATCAGTTTTCATTTATGGTTATTCTCAATTATTATGAAAATTACTCGGATAAATAAAGTAAATACTTCCTTCGAGAGTATTTAAATCCGAAATGCAACAAAATAAGTTTCTTGTTATTTTTTTATTGAAGTAAGATATTTAGTAGGAAACATAAGTTACAAAAATGTAAAATCATAATTAAAAAATTATCGTTACGTCTTAAATATTTGTCTGTTTATCCTTACATTTTCCCAAATTTTACTAAAATTGCTTGAAAAATTATAAAATGACCTTCTTAAAGTACTCACTAGATAAAGTTTCTTTTTAGATCTGTTCCATCTTACATTTGATTTACCGGAGAAAGATATCTAGTAGAAATTGTGTACACAGTATAAAAAATAAAATTAAAAAATATACATCATTGTAAAACCAATATATTCCTCATTTCGCTCAGAATCTAAAATTCAAATAAATAAAGCAGCACACATTATAGTAAAACCAATATATTCCTTGCTTCGCTCAGAATCCAATATTTTATTTGACGAGGTATTATTACACTATGAAAACGTAGAGAACGACGAACGTATACACAATAAAATAGTGATACGATTATATTACGACAATCATAAAACGTATGCGATATATTTAAATAAAGATTATTGATGGAGGATACATATTGTGTTGGCAAAAATATTAGTCTATACCAGAGATTCTCAATTTTTTTTTTCATATGTATTTATAAAAATATTATATCTACGTATTTATGGTAAAAATGACGATGCACGCGGTTTTACTTAATAACTCTCGTTGAAACCTATTTAAATTTCATGAACCCCCAATTTTTGTTTTCAATAATATGGACCCCTTGCAGACCAGAATAGACCCTTGGGTCTATATAAACACCTTAGGAAACCTCTGGTTTACATCTATCGTTCTATTGTATACCGATAACTTAGCAATTTATATCAAGAATTTTATGAATAAATATATTGATAATGTATATGCTATTATATCGTATTTTAATTACTCGTTAAATATAATCAAAAGACTATATAAAAACAATGTATAGAAACTAATGCTTAATTAAGTATTTAATTAAGTTGAGTATAATATATAGTATCATTTTTTTTAAGCCTTTTAATATTAAATTTTAACAAAAATCGTAAAAATCACGGCATTTCAACAGGCACAAATAGAGGAGACTAGGGAGCCTAAGCCCCATCTAGAATTGCTAAAGCGCCCCAAAAACTAATGATTTTACTACATTGGAAAGATATATTACTTTTCGTGCATCACAAATGATTCGATTGGTGCGTCGAGAACTACGCTAACAACGGGTAGTTGGTGGAAAATACGTAGCACTGATAATAATCGGTCGGCGGACTGATTGTTCAGAATATCTTATGCAGAGTCATGGTTTTAATTTATAACGTTTTTTGTTTAAATTATAAAGTTTGTCATTTTTTGTGATTGATTTGTATAATAAATTAAATACATATTATCCACATTAATCGATGTCTGTTGAGAATATACAATGAACGTGAAGTGTAAAGTTTAGCAATTTGGAGATTCCTAATATTGAAAAAGATATTGTTTTTGACGTAGAAGAGATTAGAAATACTTTTAGTAAAACTAAAAGGAGAATAAAGTTATTGCAATTAGGTTTACTAACTCCCATTATAAAAAAAAAACAAAAAAAAAAAACAATAACGTGTTAATATATTATATTATTATGTGAATTTGAATTTTGATGGTATATTATATGAGTGTACCTGTATTATATGTCTATGTTTATTTGTAATTTATGTCAGAGCGCAGTGAGGTTATTTTTTTTTAAGAGGTTTTGTAATTATTTAAAAAAATCATAAAAGTATCCAGTATCCTGACCTGAGCTACAGCCCCCCCCCCAATTTCAAACACTATTTCCGCCTATGCATTTCAAATATGTATAACTGAATTCTGTTCAGAATCGTTGTTAGTTAGCAATATAATGTTGTGATATTATCACTCTAATGTGTATGATTAAGTTATAGATTATTGTAATCATAAAAAAAAAAAAAAAATACGGTTAATTGATTCAAATGTTCAAAACTAAATAACTTACTCGACTAAACCGAAAACTGTAGTGTTTTTATTATACATATATTTTTAAATAATTTTAACCCAAATAACTGATTCGTTTTTGAAATTCAAAAAAAAAAAATTATTATAGACATAAAATAAAATACGATTTTACAATTCTTTTTTTTATACAAATAGCATGCAAAAATATGCAATTTCATGGAAATATTCAAAAATATGCAAAAAAAAAAAAAAAGGTTCCGTTCAGTTTAGAATAATGAACTGAATCGTCAATGTATAACTAAAATCTACAGTATAATGCAAGAGAAAATATTTTTTATAACACGTACTAGAAAGACCAAACCCAAGTTCACATTTTTTAGGATTTATTTAGGTCATTTTATTAAAATTTTGTTAAATGTAGACTTTTTTATTTTAAAACAACTAGGTCGTTCAAAATATTATCTCCAAAAATTTTGTTTTTCCATAAATATTTTTACCTTAATGATTTTGGGTATTCTTTGTCCATACCATAACTTCATCAATTACTTAGTATTATCTTTATGATTTGTATTTTGTTTTTTTCAAAATTATTATTGCAGCCAAAAGACGTTATAATAATGGGGAAATTTTGATTTTGATAATTATACAATCGTTTTTAAGAATTATGCATTGAAATCCTATAGATACTTAACATTAATCGCATAGCTAACGAAATTTCACGTTGTTTTAAACCACTATGTTGTCCATTTATAACAATATATTATATTATAACAGACGTGTACAATAATTTTTAATCAATTTTTATAATGTGTATGAAGACGCGTACGACCTAATGATAACTGATCGGCATTGATTCTATAGGTCAAGAAAGAAACCACGATAATCCGTGGTCACCATCCGAGTTAAAATAATAATTATTACTACACTAGTATAGATATTATATGAACATAATTTGTAGAAAGTTCTAATGAAAAACCACGGTATGTCAACTGGAAACCTCTTGAAAATATTTCAATCGATAACATACTATAATATAATACTGATAGATATACGAAACTAATTTCCTAAATAGGATTATATTATTATTATTAGCCACCACGCGGTTAATAATATCCTTCACTTTCTTATTTCTTCCGGCCCTACCCACAAGCATGGTCACGTCTTTATCAATATAAATACAGAGTGATTATTTTTTTTACCGTGAACCAGCAGTAAGTACCATTGTAACCACCATTGGTAAGTATATACATTTAATTTACAATAGTATCCAGAAAAAAAACGAAAAGTATAACAATATAGAGAAATAAAGAAAAATAAAAGTTGTAACAGTTATATCACTGAAGTAGTATAGAAAAATGTACACAATATCGCGATACATATAAATCACCCACTATATTCTCGTCCCTAACTCTTGTCAGTATTCCTACTTTTGTTCAACTAATTACGAACTAACTTATATTCCATGATATAATTCTATCTTCATAGACAAAGAATATTCTATTAAATTTAAATTTATAATCACGCACTGGTATCAAACGAACATTATAATATAAAATAACAGATAAGTCTTTTCTTTTATATTTATTCAATTCTACTTTTTTTTTATCACATAAAATGCGAGTTTTTCATAATTAATGAGACGATATTTATTGCAAAGAAGTGATACAGTCGAAACACTCCCACTATACACTTAAATCCAATCTCAGATGGCTTATAATGATGGTTTTGAAAAATCTATTATACAACAAAAAATCCAATTATTCTGATAAAATATCGAGTCAATAAAAAATATAAAATGTATACGATTTTATACGTATTAATTTATAATTATTTATGGATTTTAAAAAAGAAACTGATAGTACTGATGGATTTTTCATTGCTTTTAAAAGGAAATTGGCAGGGAGGATACAAAGTATAATTTAATATATATATATTCTATATTCGACCATAAATTAATGCTATATCATAATAACAAAAAACAATTCTGAGCATCAGTCGTATTTTTCTCCTTGCTGTCAAGGTAATAAAGAAATTAAAAAAAATTATACGACCAACCATCCCATTTATCAAAAAATCTATTAAGAATATCAAAAATGACTTCTAAAATTATAAAATTTGAAATAACTGTATGGTCGAAAAAATTAATTATACACATTATTTTAACGAATTGAATATTTTTTTTTCACTAGAATGATTTTGCTTTTTAATATAATATTACATAAAACTCTCTGGTCTATATCTACGTAAAAAAGGTACACAGTTTTAGTGGGGGGAATGTATTTTTACACTTAAGTGACGTCTGTGCCTATTTGCGAGTTGAATTTAATAATCATTTAATTGTGTTATATTATAGTTTGAGTAAAATACAAATAAAAAAAAGTATTAATAATAATTTAAAAAAAATACTTTAGTTCATTGAGCAAACTATATAGGTTAGGTTAGGTTAGTTTAATATGTATTATTGTTATTATTATATATATATATATATATATATATATATATATATATGCCAATCGCTCGTTTAGAAAATTGTACCTTCGTGGTGTTGTACAATCGTTATATAATAATTATTTCTGTGAACTCACCCAATACATAATTAAAATTCATTAAAATCGTTAACTAATTGTGTTAACCTACCTATACGATTTTTTACACGAGGTACATAAGTCACCCTTACAAGGTCCCTCGCTTTTTTAACTCGTGTTTGATCTACACTAAAATATTATGTTGGCATGAAATAACTATACTAGACATGAATAAAAATAATTATTACTAATATAATGCCTATATTTTGTACAGCAGTTGTTATAATTTAGTCCTAATAATAAAATATATAATTTGAAAAAAAATAGGTAGCCGGTATGCACCCGGAACTGGAGGTATAAGTGTTGACATAAGAACAAAAGAGTCGAAATAAAAAAAGCAGATTAGAGAACGTCGTATGGTGTAACATCATGCACAAGTTGGATGGGACTACAGAAATTAATTAATCACAATAGTTACGAAGAAATCATAATGATTTATTGTGAATGATGGTATTAAAACTTTTAATAAAATCAAATAAAATCGGAATACCTAATATTAAAACATATTTTTAGTGTTCATTAGCATTTAGAGTAACCGTTAAAAAGAAAACTTTCAAACGAGAAGAAAATATATTCTGTAGGGGGTTATAATATTGCCATATGTATTTTATAAGCTGTTTTTAAATTCACTTTATTACCTATACAGTAGATATTTACAGGGATTTTTTTTGTTTTGTTTTGAAAACACATAATAACATTTTTATTGAATCGTTTTGTCTTGATAGAAGTTGTTGTTTATCGAAAACAAATACGCATTGGTTTTTTAAAAGCTTCTATACGCGCATTATAAGATCAAGAGCTTATAATAACGTTATTTAATCTATTGCGCAGTGTACAGCAAACTGTTGGACTTGTATTATAAAACAGTAAAATATGATATTTTTAGAATCAAACTATTGAATGTCGCAGTATACAGAGTATTGTTTATATGTTATTATTTTATCTAGCGATTTTTTCGAAGGGTTTAAGTACATTTGATTTAAGTTTTTTTTTCTAATCACAATGAAACTGTTCATAAGCTTTCTATTCACACTTGTTTCAAATATTTATCATTACTTTTATTATACTTTATACATGAGCATAATAAATTTTAAAATTGAAACCCTCTCTCCTTTTCCAATACTGCAGATTCAAAAAAAAATATTATTTTTTCTAAAAAATGTTAATGGACAAAACAATTATTTTATACATACCATTTATGAGTGAGAATGGTTTAATATTTACACCAAAGGTAATTATATAACTGCATGTCCATTTTTATATGATAACTGGTCAGGCGTACATTTTAAACTATTTTAACTTATAAACAGTAAATTTAATATTAATTATATAGTGTTATTAAACATTTGTATACAACATTATCTTTTCTAAACAAATTCAAAAACGGGGTTGGAATTATTGATAAAAATCAAAAGTTGATGTGTGTTTAAATAAAGTAAAAGCAATATTTTGAAAATATTTTGAATAACAACATTAAACGATTCTATAAATGAAAAAAAAAAGATTAAAATAATTTTTTTCGAAATATTAGTTCATAATCGTCGAATTATGACGAAAGAATCACCCTTTAGTTTAAACAAATACTTGTTACAATATTTTTATTTGATCTGCATCGCATTGGTAACGTAACGTTGGATTTCCAGACACTTGTGATATTTTTATGAAAAAAAAATTTAGTACCTAAATAAAATGTATGGATCATACGAATATCATAATATGAGCTTATCGTGCAAACATTTAAAAAAATGTATAAAATATAATATTATGGCGTCCTCGAAAAGAAAAAACCAGACGATTTATACGTGATAGGCGGATGTACCCTCTTAAGGGTTTATCATCTTTGTTCCCTATCGAAAACCGTGACCGTATACAAAGTTAACATTATACTTGACGTCACTCATTCATTTATTATTATCGATGATGATGATGACGATATAAAAAAAAAAAGTCCTTCACATCCTAACATATTGAATTTGTGTCACAAACAAAAATACCAAAAAAAATGAAAAAAATAAAACAAAAAGTTAGTTTAACCGACTAATGCAGTACTACGTCATCAAAATTCTAAAAAAGATTCCAAACATCCAAACAAGTAATATTGGTAAATTTATTAATGTTATTTTAAAAACAATGACCTATCACCTCGTCATTGATGTTCCGTTCGTTATTTTTTTTCTATTTTTAAAATTGATTAATTTATTATCACTCATTACTATTGAATCACAAAACTTATGGTATGATTTTACTCAAAAATTTAAGTTTAAAATGCGGCATTTCTATTCTTAAATTCCTTACACTTTTAAATTTGTATGTTTTTTAATAATTAAAAAGAGAAATAATAACAATACATTTTGATAATATTAATATTTAATATATATTATGGTTGCAAAATTATGATTACGGCGCATAACCGTTTCGGAATAGGTACCGAAATTATACAAATATTTATAGTAAATAAATATATAAATACAAAATGTATAGATAAAAAAAAAAAATTAATTAATTAATTAATGCGTCGTTTGGAGTATTATGATAAGTGTATTATACGACTAGTTTCAGATTAGAAATTCACCATTAAGTATAACACAATCAAAATATAAAACGCGACTAACCATTTTAATAATTTTGTTTTTACTTTATTATTTTATTATACACAAATATTTTTTCTTAGAAATAGACTGTAAGATTGCATTAATATAGACGATATATTCTCTATCTCACAGTATTAGAATTAGAAAAATAAATGCAGAGATTTATTACAGATGACGATAATTCTTTACATTTCAAGCTATTAGTCAGAGAGTGGTATGTGTATTTCATACTTGAGACCCGGACAACAGAGGAGAATTACTAGTTGCAGTTTTTCTACGAATCTTATGTGTTAATGATACTTGATTAATCATAAAAGTAGTACCTACACGATTGCTTAAATCATTCAACTAGTTGTATCAAACAGAAAATTAAGAAAATTGTTACGAAAATAAATAAAACAGCATGCGAACTCATTTAGACTTAAGACCAATTAATTATAGTCTTGCAGTTATAAGTTTAAAGTGAAAGAATAAAATTACAACTGATTTAATATTTGAACCAAAATTTTAATTTCTATAATAATTAAATAGATTTGCTAAAACGTCAAATTATACAAAGAAAAAGTGATGGTAAGAAATAAAAAAAAAACACAAATAGCTTAAAATTTTACTTGATACACTATTGTCAGTATTTTCAATTTTATATTAATTAAAAATAACTTTTAACTCATTTAATTGAGTTTTTTTTAAAAAATTGTTTCGGAATAGAATCTAAGACTTAATTTTTTATAACTTAGTTATATGCTTGGTAATCTATAACTATAAAACAATTAATTCGATATGTTGTATAAAATCAAAAATTCACAATCAGTTAGTATAAAGTTGAAACTGTGAATTTGTTTAATATCAGTTATAATATTATACGATGGGTCATATGAGGTGGAAACACTAAATATTATACTGCTTAGAGTTAAGCAAGTACAAAATTATGTAAAAATAAATTCATTTGATGGATTATAAATCTATATATGTGTAGGATTAACTTATTCTTACCAGACTTAATGATAAAAAAAATTCCAATTTTCTGCAAACTAGCTTTTTTATATATAGATATATACAAATATAATGCAATTTATATTTATTAAATACACCTGTCACAAAAGTATTAATGTAGTTCAAAAATGAAGAAAAATGCTGAGAAAATATAGTGGGTGTACAAAAGTAACCAAAAAATAGTTTACATTAGAGATCATTTGGAACAGGGTACATTACTAGGTGTTTATTATTGTCCAAGAACAAAAATAAAATAAAAACGTTATTAATTAAATAATAGATCGTAAGAAAGATCTGTTATCTGAAAGCCTGAAAGCCACATTATATTATGTTGTGCGAGTAATGAGTAGGTACAGTTAATTCTATTTAAAATCAAAACGTCATCTGTTATTACAAAAGAATATTAGAGATAAAATAATATTCGGAAAATTTAAAAGAATATTCATACCTAGTCATTATACAGTTTTCACGTCAACTTTATACAATGATTCGTTAAAAATATTATTTCACTCTTTACAGAGTAAATAATATTACATTATGCAAAATTGACTACAATACTATACAGCATAAAAAAAAATCTTTATTCAATATTATTATACCATTTTTTAATCAAAAATGTAAAACTAAAATGTCAGTACCTATACTGTGATTGAAAGAAAATAATATTATGAGTTTTTTTGTGTTTAGATCAAAATTAAAATTTAGATGCTTGTTTCCGAAGATTTACAGTCATTATAATTATTTTTTTTTATTTTTAGTTTTTCGTGATTTGTACTCAACCTTTCTAAAAAAAAAAAAAAAATACACAACTAAGAAATTTACTTTCGTTTTAGAAAGTATTCCTGAAAAACGTTTATGAATACAACATTTTAACACGTTTTATATTAGTAAAAATTTTGTCACTTATCACCTCTAAAAGATAAAACTGGGTGGAAATTTAACATTATCTTTAAAAGATGTTAAATTTTCACACAGTTGTACTTTATTTGAAAAAATGTCTAGATTTCCATTCTTATTTTTATTAAATTTAAAAAACTAAAAACATAGGTTACACACATCGGTTCTTTTGAGTACATTGATAAAAATGCGACTACCGTAATACTAAGAAAAACTAATAATATACTTAAAATCGTTGCCTCTAGTGCCTGCATAAATTATATTACACTGTATATATCCTATAATTATAAAACTTCTCACCTACTACTGTGCCACCTTTTGTGGTCTACTTTTGGGCGATGTACGGAAGAATACTTTTTTTTAAAAATTTGAATATCAAAAAAAATTAAATTTTTATCCAAATAGATTTCGTACGTAAGTAAAATTATAAACAAATTATCGACACAAAAATATTTAGTAATAATAATCGATGGTTTAATGAATGAGCAGTGACCATCACGTTAAACAATTTATAGGTATATCTCATGATCTATCTTGTCAAAAATTTGAAATATACTTTCCCATGAGCATTACTACATTATAGTTCGTTTATATGGTCAGTAAGATTAATGTTTAAATGTTAATTTTTTCTAGTAATTTCGTTAAAATCACTTACATGCAACACATTTAATACTGCAGCAGAAGGTGCGAGGTCCCCTGGAATTCGTTAATTAGGTACGATACATATATAATTAAATGTTACTGACTTCTTTATATCGAATCGAGAATTGTTGTTGTTACAGACAAATGATGTTATTGAATACTCCATCGTAATATTGTAACAAAAAAAGAATAAAAGAAAGAAACCCCGGGACACAGTAACGAAGGATCGTGAGAATTGAATATTGCATTTACTTTCCGAAGATGAATGAAAAAAACCCTTGTATTTGGGTAAGAATTCTTATCGAAATAAACCGAAAGTGAACGAAAAAAGAACCACGCACTTGGCTTATTTTTCAGGGGAAAAGGTCACTATTGAAGTTTAAGCTAAGTGCAAAAACCGTAATATTATATGTGGTGATTTTTTTTTGTCTTACGCGGGCCTTCCTGTATATTACCATTGATTATAGATAGTATAGACAGCATTGACCTGACCTAATTTTTTGGTCGCGTAAAATAAAACTCCTGATAGATGGCAATACGACTATTGTTACAGTATAAAATTAAATAAATTTGTGTATAATTTTGTTATCATCACAAAGGTCAACGACGGTCGGGGAACTCCGGCTAACGGCTACCTGTTTATGATTGCAGCAGAATAGTTATTAGTTTTGATCATATTAATGATAAACGAAAGTGTAATGACTGTACGTAAATGTTTCTTATCCCCAATAGACTA